TAATGCAGAAGAGAAGTGGAGGAAACTGTCTAGGGTTGGGAGTCACCTCTGATGTTTTTTCCTGGCCTTCAGACAAAGAACCTAAACCAGGAGGTAACCCCTGCACAGAGGAGTGGTGCTACCTCTGTGAATATTAGCTGTCCTGTATACATCGCCATATATGTAAGGCAAGTTGTGTGAATCTTCCCACTTCTGCTCTAATTTATTTGGAAAATCATCTTCCTGTAATAGAAGCTGACCATGAGGGGCACACCTAAATAGGCAGTCCTAAGTCGTCTTTGTTGTTTCCCTTCCACTGAAGTGGCTGCAGTAAGCATCAGCAGATAAAGCTGCATCCCTGAGAGATGTGATCAGTAGCAGCAGCTACAGTGCAGCTCAGAGTTAACAACTTGCTTGGTTTAATTCAGAGCTCTTCAAGTATTTCACATTCCCCAGTTATTAATATAACTTAAAGCATTAAAAATACAACAACAAAAACAAACAACAAACAACACCACCACTCCTCCCTCCAAAAAATCTTGACTTTGAATGTCTTTGGCAGAATCAGCATAATATGTGCTACATGTAGGATAGTTATTTTTGGGAAGCAACAGAGACAGCTAGGCTCTCTGTAAGCCTTTCTACTAAACCATCCTTCTGAGAAAGATGTTACAAAATGTTTTATGGCAGTTATAGATGGGGCATGCTGGAGCTACTTCTAGTTTAGCAAAGTGCCTAAGGCAGAAATTTGTTTGCCTGAAACTGAACATTAGAGAAAGAAACTATAAGCTATCCACCAGCTATATATGATGCATTAGAAATGAATATGTCAAACCTGACCTGTAATGTATTTACTGCAGTGCTTACGCTATCATTTTAGATACACTTGGTCTTGTCTATGATAGGAATAAACTTTTTGATAAGAGCCTATGAAAAAAAGAAAGGCTTCATGTTTCACAGGAAATGCAGCTACAAGAAATATAGCTGGTTCTGCCTGGTGAGATTTAACAGCTTAAGATGCAATCAACTATCTTATGTTGTTTGAACTGGTATCTGTACACGTTAATGTTCAAAAGCAAGATTCTGGAAGCAATCTGGAACAGTGGCAGAAGTCAGTGGAAATCATTAAATGTTTCAAATCTGAGCATAGGAACCCCAATTTTATCAGGACCCACAGGACCCAACCGTGGTAGGTTCTAAATAAATGCAAAACCTGAAGGTAGTTTCTTTCACAAAATCACTATATTTCTATATTTCACAATATATTTATTTATATTTTTCTAAGTATATTTTAATATATTTTTTTCACAATATTTCAATATTGCGAAATGGAGAACAAATCCAGTCTGTAATGCAGTATGACTGCTTTTATGATTTATTTAACATTTGCACTGTGATCACAAAGAGGTTAAGCCCCATTTCTCTATGCAGTTTGAAAACAGAATGTGTGAAAATTGTGTACCGAGGAATTTAACGGTCCAAAAGGCGTAGCAAGAAGGCAAACAAAATGGAGTAGACTGCATCAAGAAACAGTGCCACAAGTTGAGAAGGATTCCTGCCTGTGTGTTTTTAAGAAAGGCTTGGACTGGATTTTGCACCCTTGGTTGGTGTGAGCAGTTTGTACAGACCTGCTGGTAAAAGCTGAGGTGACGCTTTAGCTTCCTCTTGTTCACAAATTGTTGTGACCCTTATGTGGCACCTAAGGAAGGTAGTTGATGTCAGCATGGGCAGAACCATGCATAAAACTTGGATCAGTTCTTGGCAATAGAAGCTGCAAGCAAATTATTTGAAAATTACTTACAGGGTTTGCAGATCTTGCTTTCCTTTTTACTGCTATTCCTATAAAATCATGTGGTTCCCTCAGACAAGATATAAACCGTATCTATAAACAATTAGATATAAAAATCTATAAACAATTGATATAAAAATCAAATATAGTCTTTTTGGTTTGTTTTAGATTACTATGTAATTAAGTAAGGTACTTTTCTGAAGCCAATTTTATATTGTCCTAATGGTTTTGGCAACAAAACGAGATCACCAACTAAATGACTGCAACCGCATTGACCATTAATGATATTTTAGGAAATGCTGTGTTACCTTGGACTGAAAATTTTTGCTTCTGTACTATTTGGTGTGCAGTACCATTAACATATAACATTGAATGTTCATATTGCATAAAAATAATTATAATGAAATTCTACATACAAATATACATTTTTGTGTTGTCAATGTGACATGACAGCTTCAGGGACATTTCTTTTAATTTATTTTTAATAACCTTGTTCAATAGTCTACTGATAAGGTATTTAAGTTCCACTGAGGTGGGTGCTGAAGCTTCATAAACGTGATGTATATCAGCTGAGGGTTTGTCCCAGTGGGACTTAGGATAGAGTCATATGCTTTCCTGAATGAGACCCCAGAGGATTACATTCAACTCATTTATGGTTACGAGCACATAAAGTATTTCCAGCAAGCTAATGTGGGAGTGGGGCTGATGATAGTTCTTAATAATTTAGTGTATGGAAAAAAAAAATTATATACACAAAGTGTATATAAATAGAGAAATAGCCTTAGCCTTCAGAGATAAAACTCTTTAATTATTAAATTTTACTAATGATCTCAAATATCATCTGTGTTAAGTCTTTTCTCTCCACTTTCTAATTCAGTGGTCTATAAAGCAATTACAATTCAGAGTCATCATTTCATTTAATAGGCTGTAGCATGTTGTTGGTTTTTGTTCATTGTGGACAGTGTATTTTTTTAATTAACCATGTAGTACATTATTGATTTTTGTTATTTATAACATAAAAGTTAGAGGTCACAAAATCTGTAGTCCACTCAACTGTAACGTGTTTTCTTTTTAATATATATCTATCCTGCCTTGTTTTCTTCACTCACACTGAATCCTGACTGGAGCATATGTACATTTTTTTCCATTGCTGACTGAGTGGTTTTATATGGCAGGTGATAATGTGGTAGCTGTTCAAGAAGCTCTTTTACCATTTTCTGTTTCATTATTTCATCCGTATTTGCAAGTATGCTTTATTAGATCTTAATGTTTCTAAGGAATGGGAGACTAAAAGCCTGTTTATAGAGTTGTCGGCAGAGGCCTGTTTCTTGTTGCCTGTTTAGACTTCAGGTGTGTGCTACCTGCTCTCAGATGAATAATGCAAGGTGGCAATGGACTGCCAGCCTCTACTGTATGCCAGGCCCCACACCCGGTGAAGACAGTGACACTTGTTTGAGCTAGGACAATTTGGAACTGCTGGCAGCTTTGGCTAGCATCAACGGATCCTGTGAAAAGCTGGATTTTAAAGTCTGACCAGTCATTTTTAGGAAGCAAATAACATCCTGTACGTGGGAGAGTTGCCGCGAGGTGTAAAAGTACCTGGGGAGGTTACTTTGGAAGCAACTTACAAGTAATATTCAGCAGCCAAAGAAAGGAGAAGCTTCCCTTTGGAGCTCCACGTTCTGCAGGTGTTGAGTTGCTTTTGAAGGCAGGAATATTCAGCCAAGCAGATGTGCCTTTATGATCCTGCTGACAAACTATTTTTTTCCTAGATAAAATCTGAGATTGATTTTTAGTCTAAAATAATTTAACTTGTATTTAAATCACTGGCATTGAAAATAATGCCTTTACTTTTACAGTCCTGTAAGAATTTGCTAACTATTCTTTGAGCAATATATTACTTTTCATGTCTGTTGAACAGATGCAGCAAGATGCCTGCGTGATTTATAGGCTACTTGCCTGACAATCCAGGGGTAGTTAGTTGGTTTTATACATTGTTGTCATAATGTTTCGTGAATATTTTATCAATTGCCAAAGTCTCTGTTCTTTCCTCGGGTTATAAGGTTGTGAAATTTCTAAAAGGACAAAGAGGGATAAGACACTGAAGGGAGTCTGAGAGTAGCGTTGTCAAAAACATCAACTGACAGAGTTCTATTTTAAAAAACAGCTTGTCTTGGTAGGTGGTGGGAGGCAAACAGGTTTCCAAAATCAGGTTCCTAAACACCCAAATTATTCTTGACAAAGAGTTTTTAACTCATTTAAATGAGTTTTGAATACACCCATTTAAGTCTCCTTCTTCCTGATTTTAGTGTAAGTCTAGTTCTTTGAACAACTAATCCATGTAGCGTGTCATTGACTCCAACAGAATTTATTTCCATAAGTAATTAGACATGCAAATAAACATCATGAAGAACGTGCCTTGTGCAACACAGCAATACTTCCTTTCTTTTCTGTTAGGTTACGTAATATGAATTTTTATACATTTAACATATAATTGAAGTTAACATAAGTGTAATAATTTCTGAAGTACCAAAATCACATGGCTACTTCTGCTCAGCAAAAGCCCTGGTGCTGTTGGTACTGTGTCAGTCTTGTGTGGAACCACATGGGTGGCTCTCCTGCGCTTCTCCTAACCTGTAATCAAGAGTTCACTACATACAATACAGGAAAAAAATTGTCTTACCTGAGACATAATATGCACGTTTTTTATAGTTGAAAGTGATTATTAAAGTGAAGGTTATTCCTTGCTAATATTGTCAATAAAATAATTTTTATAGAAGTGACTGAAGGAGTAGGAAATGACGGGAAGCACAAATCCCCAGAGTTAGGGCTCAATGTTTAAAATAAGGATCAACAAATGGATAAATTACTTAGCTGGGCAGTGCTTTTTGCAACATAGAAATACTTGTTTGAAAGAGTTGTTTATACTCAGGCTGAGTTAATGTATTTATATCATATATAAGTAGTATAATATTAAACTGTATTCAGTATTCAACACTTAGGCTTTAAATTGCATATATTGTGAATTTCACAAGGAAGTGTACAGGTGCATGAGGCAGCACAGCTGGGCAACCAGTTCTTGGTACTCACACTTCGCAGTGCTGTAGCTAGCTACTAATGGCTATGAGAGTTTGCAGCAAGTGAAACTTCCCTGCCAGCAAGCAGAGCATGGTGTTGAATATCTTCTGAAATACCCAAAATAAACCAATCTATTTCTCTTATGTTCATACAGGTGATCCAGTTGAGATCCAGTTGGACACATCAACAGATCTCTCAGTTGACTTGGAGACCATGAATGTAAGGTATTGGTTTATTGACATAACTGCAATTAGACAATTTAAAAAAGAATTGATTATGAAAGATTTTGCTGCTTTTTTACCCCATGTTTTTGACTCCCCCATCCCCTCCCCCATAGTTTGGGTAGTGCAAAAAATAAATAAATAAAATGATAATGTATGTTATTTGAGGTGTGTTCTGCCTATGTCAAATGTAGGTGATTCAGAAATGTTGGAAGACTGTTGTACAAATGAGTGAGTGAGCTTGGTGCCCAGCTAGGGGTTTGAAAACATCTTGGAGGAAAAGCCACAAGTGACACCTTCTCTGTAGCTTGCTGTTGCTGTAGTATTCATCCCTCCTTGCTGCTGTTAAAGTGTCCGTATCAGGTGGCAATAAGGAAAGCAATGTAGTGGTTGTATAGCACAGTACTTAAAATGTTACTGCTGAAAACATAAAACTGGGCTACACACCTGCTGTTAAACCTCAATCTCACCCTTAAACCTTTCAGCTGTTGTCAAACCTCAGGATGATTCAATACTATTTAAAAAGAAAATAGGTTACACAAGTGTTTTGAGAGAAAAAAAAATCCTTCCCCACTGACAGTGAAAACAGGAGCATGTTTTCCATACTGTAGTCTGCTGCAAGATGCAAATTGCTAAAACAAGCTTTTCAGTCTGAGGCAGTACAGGGACACACATATTTTAACAGGTAAGAACTCAGGTCCCTATTTAAGAGAGAGACAGTCAGCTCATGATCATATAAAACTATAGAAAGCAGGACCTTCATTTTGACCTAGATGGCCTTGTATAAGGAAATAATATGGACAATACCATAAACTCTGTCCTAGCTAACCTGCTTTGAAAATGTACATACTATATTTTCTGAGAGTATTTTCTTGTGCCCTCAGGAAGTACTGGAATCTTAAACTAATCTTATTTTATATACATACATCTATATTATCACAGATTATTCAAATTTAAAAGACAACTCTCTGTTTTCTTGTTCATGGAAAGAAACAGCTTTTCATCTTCAGCATCTGGAAGATGCAGTCAGGTCAAAATGATGTCAGATGCAAAAGAAAAAAAAGACAAACAACATTTATCTAAAATTATTTATACTTTTCTTCCAGGAAAAAACAAAGTTATTCTCACTATTCATTCCATTGTCATTCCTCAAAACATTGTGTAGAGAGCATAAGTCACATGATACCATATTTGTGTATCTTCCTGGTATTTTCTATGCGATAATTTTCCCCAATGAATTCTAAGTGTTGCTATTGTTAGACATTGACATTTAGGGAATACTTCAGTTTAAAGTTTGTTCTTTCAAAGTATTTTTGCTCAAGGTCTCAAATGGTCATATGGAGGAAGAAGTAAAGGTCATGAATGCATCTTTAAAAATAATTTACTTTTGAATTTTTGTCAATGCTTGCAGCGAAGACTGTCCTCTTATTGCAAAGTTCTGCCTGTGGGTAAGTCGGCAAGCACTGTGTCCTGTGGCTCTGCTGCTCGCTGTCCTTCTGGCAGGCCTGCATGTGCAGTGGAGTGCCCTGAATGGGACAGGACTGATGCTGTCCGTGTGTGCTGGTCTGAATCTGTCAAGATCAAATGTAGGTATCTGAGGAAAGGCAATTGGTACAATACTCCTGTCAAGGGAACGGCATCAAGGCTGAGGCTATTGTATTTTCTAAAGGAGTTCCCTAATGTAGGATGTTATAAATGAGGTCTCAACTCAATCTGAATTTTGTAATATTTATAAAACAAATATTTCTAAAAGGTATAAAAGCTATAAAAGGCAAGTAAACAGCACTGGGTGTGCAGGGAGTCTATGCTCCACCAACACGCACACACGAACATCAAACATTCTAAATATACAGAACATTGCTTTACATACTAAACCCGAGAACACCTAAACGTATGTACAATCAGAAAAGGTAACAAACAATCCTTTAAGTTCCATGACTTTACAGTCTCCATTTTCCACTCCTTTTCTTGATTACATACAAGTCTCCATTTTCCATTCCCTTTGAACAATATGTCTTGCTTTAAGTTGTCAAGCAACTCGGTCTTCAGGCCTTATGTATCCCGTTCTTCCCGGATCAAAGAAAAGCATATCCATCTCCTTGTGAAGGCCAAGAGGCCTGGGTCAAAAGACATGTCCAGGTCACCAGGGCATAACAGTAAAGGCCTTCGATGGCTTTAGCAGCAGAGGGGCTGGTGGCATAGCAGTCAGATTAGTAAAGGAGCCCGCAGCTCCCTCACTGTCTGGCAAACCACGTTTCTGACTGTGGTCCCACAGGGCTCTTTAAGGCCTCAGAGACTGCTCGCCAGGTGCTGAGCAATCCCACTGCAACCTTGTCGGTTTTAGTTGCAGAGTCCCACACCTTGACCTCAGTTTGGTCCCAGATTTCAGGCTCATAAACTGCCCAATTGTTAATAAGGAGAATAAGCTGTAAGGTTACCAGGACAGTCTTTGTTCCTAAGGACGTATGATTCCCCATAATGCACACCTGCTTACCAGCGAGAAGCAGTTGTGTGCACGGGTCCACTTCTCTCAGCTCAAGCTTCTCTCCAGCTCCAGTGCGCCTGTTTCCAGCAACTTTCTGTACGAGCTTCTCTGAGCAGTTTGCTGAGTTTGGCTGAACCTATCTTCATGAGACAATCAATGTGCCTGCTCCCGTCCTGGTCTCCATTCTGCCAGCCTGTTCCTCTTCACTTCTTTTTCCTGCTTCTTTATTGATGTAAGTTCATCGTGTTGCCATTTTTTTTTTTCTTCTCCTTTCTTGAGGGCAGGCTCCCCTCTTACACCCTTCTCTCCACAGCAGTTCTTTTCCAAACAACTTTTCATTGGTCAGACAACTTTGAAGCAAACACCCAGAAACATCCATGCCTTAACGGCTGGAGAACAAGAGAACCAGCTGGAGAACAAGAAACCGGAGAGTGCATGGAGTCTCCTGAATCACCCTTCTTTTTTCCCTCTAAACTTTTATATTCCTGATGGCCTCATCGTTAAGAGTCTAATGTTATCTCAATCATGGGGTTTTCCAACCCCCATGGCCACATTCTCAAATCTCCCCCTTCTTTATTAATATCAACCATTTTCTTGACACGAATTACTACTTCATATATAACAGGGAGTAGTGGGTTTTTGTGGAAAAAATGACATTCAAGAAAGAGAGAGGTATTGATGGTCACCTCTGGTGGATCATTCTATCTAACAGAACATGGGAGCTTTTTACATCTGTGATGTAAAATTACAGCTATGTGTTGAGATGCAAGAGAGTAATATCTTTGCAGAGAAACACTGGAGTAAGCAGGACAATGCAAGTCGGAGACTTGCTACCCTGTAAAATACTCCAGATTTGAAGAGGCAGATTCACTTCCTCCCTTACTTTAAGAGTGAAAATTTGGTCTCCCTTTGTACATACTGCAAAACCATTTTGCAGCTCAGATGAGCTGGCAGCCCCACACAGGGGCCCTGTCAAAATAACAAGGGTGTAAGAAATCAGAGTTGTGTAGCCTGTTGGGCAAGGCTGTCATGTTGTGCATTACTGTGTAGGCTTGTTCCACTGCAGCACCTCTATTTCTGTAGAAGAAAATGTTTTTAGATCATGAGTCCTAACTTTTGGTGATCTTTTGAAGTATTAGTGATGGATTGTGGGGGAAGTTTCGTCTAGCAGAGTTCCTGGCAGAGACAGGAGATAGATGTGAGGGAAAGCCTTAGAGAAGACAGCTTACAGTGATTTACCTTGGGACAAAGCGAGAGTAACGCTGGAACATTATACATGCCTAGCAGTCCCTAAGGCCCAGGATGCTGTTCTGTAGGAGGACCCTAAGAACTGAAGATAGCAGAAAGGGATTGCATGGACAGGGCTTTACTGCAGCTTGGGCCCAAGGTCTGGTGCAATGAGGTTAGCTTGCCAGACACTGCTTCCACAGAAATGAGCAACTTATACTGCAGCAAACAACGTGCAAGATATGACTAAATTCTGAGCTACCACTGTTATAGGATAGTTTTAAAATGTGTTTCGCACTGCTGTTTTAAAAGGCTGAGATCTGGGTTGTTTTAAATATTAATAGATTGCATTTTTCTAGGCCCCCATGTTACTACCAGTTGGTACAGTCTCCTAAAGATGCAAATACAATTAGAGCTGCTCTGAGTGTGTGTTTTTTGTTTTGTGATTGTTTTTTTTTTTGAACTCAAATAAGAATGAGTACAAACAGAAGGCTGCTTTCAGCTAGTTATCATTACCACTTGGTAAAAAAACATTTTCCCCTGTAAAATTTTTTTATTGTCCTGCAAGGAAGTCCCATAAAATACTATAAGTAGCTTGCAAGGAAGCAGTTCTTTCTCCAGGACAGGGATGTTTACCAGAGCAGACTGGAAAGGTAATGTGAGCCTCAGGGAAATCACAGCTCCGTGAGTGGAGACCTATGGAAACAAACACATGGGCACAAGGCATGTCCATTATTTTGCTCTAACGTGACTGACATTTCACGCCAGCACTGCCAGTCCCAATCTGATCGCTCAGAAGGGATTTCCAGGCACAAGACCCAAGACCACTGTGACTTTGTCTGTACTTAATCTTTTTCTAACCCAAAAGTGAGCTACTCAAATTTGATTGAAGTATAAAGTGTTCTGGGCAGCCTTTATCTCATTTCAGGCATTTATTTCATGTATTCCCAATCCTAGTTTAGGTGTCTAGAAAGGATAGACTTTTGAGCTCAGGGACTCTTCAGACCTAATAGGACTAAGATTAATCATCTATAACTAACTGTTTGAAGAGAACGAGTTGTTAAATTGCTCTATCATATCATGTTAAGTAAAAGGTATTATTTTGAGCCGAATGGAAGTAGTTAGTTTGAGACCACAGGAAAGTTTTCCAAAGCTATAAAATTAAAGCTATAAAGTGAGGTACTGACTTAAAACTAAAAGATATGGGCAGGAAAAAAGACATGAGTTGAATGTGAAAATAGAATGTCTGTCTGTTTGATCTGAGATAGAATCATAGAATCATAGAA